AATTAAAACTAAGTTATTCTTTCTCGATACAACTTTGTAATACACAAAATTTCACAGTCACTTTAAACTTAACAACCTTTATAACACACGCTATGAATCACAGTGATTCACACACTTTACTTACGGTGCCTACTGTTCGCTTGACTCAATTATCTTTATCTTCAATCTATCTGTATATCTCTGCAATCTATCTGTCTATCGCTGGCTTTATTTACCGGGCTTATATACTAAAAAAGAGGGCGCCTGGGAAATTCATGATCCTTCCAGAAACACCAGCGCGCATGCTCCCAACATCGCGTGACTTCTGCTATCGTAACAATACGTATACTGTAGCGTGCTTCTTCCGGTGCGCTTGACAAAATAAGATTCCATTAATTTTCTCAATGAGATTGAAGTTTACATTCTTCACATAGGTTGCGCTTTCTGAATATATAAGAGCCTAAACTTCTTAATGTCAGTTTAGTGAGAAAACAAACGCACGAAAACAATATCATAGATGCCGCCACTTTAGTGTACTGTTTGTTTGTTTTGAATTTATGCACAAAGCTACACAATAGGCTATATGTGCTCTGCCCACCACAGGTATCGAAACCCAGTTTCTAGCGTTATAAGTCTGTAGACTTACCGCTGTGCCACTGGGGGGCTTAATGTATTGTCTAGTACTTGAAAAAAATCACATATAGTTATCCGGAAATTAAGTAAACATTTAACTAAATCTTTACAATAAATACCCTAATTTCTCCAGCATATATATATTAATATTATATTATTCAGTGGGTGAGTTTCTTCACAATCAGGAGCACCATATTAGTGTTGTCATAAAAAATTGTTGACTTATTTTGTTTATGGCAAAGCTACTATGGGTATCTGCTTCTGTCCCAAATTTTGAACTGCCATCTCTTGAGCTACTTTTTTACAAACAAAGCTTGGGATTTGTTAATACTAGAAATAGACGACCTTATAACACCAAAGTGTTGTTTTTATTTAATTAGATACTCAACGTTTCGCTTTACAGCTTCTTCAGGAGTGTTCATTAAAACACAAACCGAAATTGACAGTACAAAGCGTCAAAGCGAAACGTTAGTATTGTTGCGTCATCAAGATCACGTGACTATTCTCACGCCCTCTACTTTCTAGAACTATCCTGTACTTTGGCGAATGCTCTAGCATTTACTAGATATAGGGTAGCCTGGTATATAAAAGAGGGTGCCAATGTGACGGTAATGTGTGTGTAGATAGTGAGTAATTGAACTGCAGTCAGAAGTATTGTTGACGTTCGTTGATATAGCGTTTGTTATAGAGCGATTGTTGAAAATAAGTGTATCGTAAAGTTGTATTCGGAAAGACTAAATCAGTTTTATTAAGTAAGGACTTCTGTCGCTAAAGTTTCGTCGGAACGAAGTTACGGAAAGTTAATTAATAAACGGAGACGTAATAGTATCTAATTAAATAAAATCAACATTTTGATGTTATAAGGTCGTTTATTTCTAGTATTACTATGTTTTCTGTACACAAATATGCACTACTGAAATTAAATAAAAGCTTGGGATTTACCACCACAAAATAATGCCCCACAGCTGAAAGACTGAGAATATTTGATGACAGGTTTCGATCCGACTTTTGCCTTTCAGTGGTACGGCGGTATGTCTGCGGACTTACAACGCTAGAAACCAGGTTTCAATACTCTTGGTGGGCAGAACACAGATAGCCCATTTTGTAGCTTTGTGCTTAATTAAAAACAAACAAATCGAGCCTACTCGTAGTTTGGAATTGAACGCCCTAACCAGGCCAATTTCATAAGAGGGGAAGGGATAATGTTAATTTTATTTCGAAACTCTTTTGGCTTTAAATATTCGTTTGTAAAATTACGGCAATGATATTCTATATGGATCTAAGAATAACGTGAATTGAATTACCCCCACTATAATGTATGAAATATTGTAATTTGAGACACTTATACGTAAGAATCGAGTTTAGTACCAAGAAGAAGGCTATGAAGAATATACTTTTACTATTTATCAGTCGTTAGTGTTTGAAATATCTTTGTTATACTGCATTTTCAATTGTACAGATATCCTTGAGCTTGATCAAGACGTAACTATTGTGCGTCTGTACGCACACTCTGTAACACGCATGCGTTTATCATTTCCCAGAGTATATAAACACTGTAGGACTAACACGTTTGTCGTTGAGTCGAAGAGAGAGATTTGTTGTAGTACGTGTAAGGAACGGTGTTAGCCAAGGCAATTTTCACGATCTTGCAGTTTGATAATTATTTTCCCTGATTAACAAGGCAGTAATGAGCTCTAAGTCTAACGAAGTAATGTCAGATAAATTCGGATACTCAGAAGATGAACATTTTGCTACAAAAGCTATTCACGAAGGTCAAGATCCTGCCCAATGGACACATAGAGCAGTGGTGCCACCAATATGTGCAGCATCCACATTTCAGCAGTTCTCTCCTGCGAAACATGCGGTAAAATTAACATTTGCTTATTTATGTATAAAAACGATAATAGTGATATAGTATTTTACAGCACCCTATTCATTTATTGTAATTTTTTAACTTTAAATGTATTATTTTCTTTTCCTATATATTTCACTTGGTTATTGTAGATCTTGGCTGCTCCATTTGTTTGTATGACTACGAGTTATAACTAGTGTGCTATTCACGTTTTCACTTTCAGGGGTTGGCATGGTATGGTGGTATGACACTCGACTCACAATTTGCGGGTCGCGGGATCGATACCTAACGCCAAATATTTTCGTCCATCTCGGTTTGGGGGCGTTTTAATGTAAAGGTCAATTGCACTATGTGTTGATAGAATAGTAGTCCAAGAGTTGGCGGTGGGTGCTGTAGTTCAAAATTAAAGACTGCGGCAGTTAACATTATTAGTTTTGCTGCAAACAAACAAACTTGATTTTCGTTTCTTTTGCGAATATATTTTTCTAATAACGCCTTGTCAGTCCAATCGGTGGTTTTGCATGATAATATTAAGAACAAGAGTACTGTCGGATAAAGTTAGGTACTGTTTATTAACCTCCATATTTATAATTATTAGATAAATATTTTACATATAACGCATTTGCATTGTATTCAACTTCAAGTGAGTTCTAACGAATAACAAGGTAACTTAAATGAACAAAGACAATTTTTAAAATGTAAAATGCTTACTTTTTCTTATCTTATAATTGTATATTTATGCTTATTTTTTAAATATGTATATGGTAAATTAATTGGTTTATTAATATGGTATATGAAAAAGAAATTTGTGCTGCCATCTATCGGAATTTATTATTATGAGACTTGGGAATAGGTTGTTTTTCGAAACGATAAATTTGAAAGTAATTATTTGCATGATTCATTGATTTTTTTTTTCACACTGGAGCAAAAAATTTTACCTTAAGATATGTTTCAACTTTAGAAATTTCTAAACTCGTATGTCACACAACTGAAACATTATATATTGGCAGGCCCGCCGACAGGAAGGGGGCAACTGCCCATGGGCCCGGGCGAATGAAACCTGGTTATGCCGTAAAGCCTGCAAAGCTTCTTTAGGCTATATCTTCATTTAATGATAAAAAACATAGTTTTTGGCTTTTCTTTGCAAGTAGACGCTTGATACATTAGGAACGATTGCTGGCTCTCGACGTTCCTGTATATTGGTAATGCTTCTAGTGGAAATGTATAACTGAAATTTAAACCACGCATTCAAAATTAAACTAGTAAATAGCATTATGTAAGTTTGATTTCATCAGCAATTCGGTTAGATATGGTAATTTTAATGATGTAATAGGGTAGAATTAGAACATTTGAAGGATATTATTGTACAGAATTATTATTTTTCTTGACGTTATTGTTTTGTCAAATTTCGCACAAACCTACACAAGGGCTATTTGCACTAGCTGTCCTAAATTTTAACGTAATAAACTAGAGGATAGGCAGTCAATACCACCAATTCATGGACTATTCTTATGGAATATTGGAATTTGCAAAACATAATATTTTTGTTAGTAATAACAATAATGACAAAAGAACCTCAAAGCCATAGAATAGCACATTTACCACTGAGTCACATTTGGACAGTTTTCGTTATGTTATTATGTTGTAAAATAGTTTGTTCCTGATTAACACTTTCAAGGACTTTTTCATAATTGAAGATTACATTTGACTTGCATGTGTTGTTTTGATAATTGATATATTATGAAAATAAAATATATTTCATCATCATTTTTAAAATATGAATTTGATGGTGTCATTTAGAAATTCAAAATGATTAAAGGTTTTATAAGATGTAGGCATACAATGATGAAAGTGAATATTAAAGTACAACAACGTAAAAACAACTGATATGTGCTAATAATTAATCGATATATTTTTATTATTTCAAACCTTTGTGAATGAAGAAGAGAAAGCATTTTAACTAAAGAAAATTGTAATATTATTATTTGCTTACTTTTAATGTTTTTTGTGTGTGTGTGTGTGTGTTTGGTTAAAACTTGTCAATTATTTTATATACTGCAGGGATTTGAGTATGGGAGAAGTGGTAACCCCACCAGAAATTGTCTTGAAAAGTGCTTGGCTGCTTTAGAAGATGGAAAATATGGTAAGGCATATTAACCCTTAAATTATCATTCATTACCAGGGAAGCCTGTATATTGCATTATATTGAGTAATGTTATGTTTTTTTACTTTTCAGAACATTCTGTGCAAAGAGCTGATAAAATTTGGTAAAGTTATCATTTTCTATGTATGTTGCACAAGCTGTAATTGGTGGGATTATTTGCAGTAGTGATAATATTTGTGTTGAAATTTTTTTGTGTGGCTTGTATGTTATTAAGAACCCTGTAGCCAAAGAAGTCGTGAACTTATAAGCAATTTGGTGCACAAGTGATTTAGAAAAATGTTTTTTTTTATGAACTCCCATTCATAATTTTAGGATTATGATTTTATATAAGTGTACACTCACAGTATATTATCAACTACACTATTTTTTATTTATAGTAAAATGATGTGCTAGAACTAGAATTACTTTTACAATGTGTATAACATTTTACATTTACAGAAAAAATGTATGTTTTACATTAGCTAATTATTTTATTTTAGTTATTAAAAGTGTAGTTCTTGTTCATACATATATTTTTTTTTTATTGAGTACTTATGTTCATATTTTATGATAACTCTTTAATAGGTAAAGAATACTTTCAAATACATTAACTTTATTTGCAATGATTTTTCATCTATTTAACAAAATTGCATATTGAGGGACCTATATTTATATTTTGTGAAATAAACCAGTAGCATGAGAGGTGTTTAGATATAATTAATAAATAGTTGGATGAAAAGTTTGAAACAGTTGATTTATAAATAGTTATTTTACCAAAAGTTAACTATATGACCATCAAGGTTAAAGATTTTCATTATGTAGGAAATATTACTGTTTAGAAAATATAAGATACAAAGAATATATAAACATATCAGCCATTGTTTTGTTTTTTATCATATTTAGCACTGTCCTTTGCCTCAGGATTGGCAGCTACCCTTTCAATAACTCATCTTTTGAGTAGTGGCGATCATGTCATTTGTTTTGATGATGTATATGGAGGTATGTGTATTATACTTTTTGTCCAGTTTAGGAGATGGTTCATTTTTTTTCTTTGTTCTTAAGCACAAAGTTAAGCATTGGGCCAATTGTGCTTTGCCAACAGGTATTGAAACCTGGTTTTTAGCCTTAGCAAAGGAAGTTAAGATAATATTCCACCTAGTAGCTTCTGTAAAGGTCAGAACTTGAGCCATTGTAGCTCAGTCAGAGTACTAGCTAAAAGTGTTTTAAGACAAAGAAAATATTGATCTAAATTTTGATTACTTGACCTTATTCACCATTTTTAGGTGAAAGTTGTTTGTTTGAAACTAAAACAAAATATCTTAGTGTTTTAACATTTTTATATTTTATTTAAAATCCACTTAAATGCATTCTAATGTACAACCTTCAGACCAGTATTTTTTGTACTGATAGTACATAAATAATTAGAGATCATATTATTAAAATCTTCTTTATGGGTGTTTTGTTAGGATAATTAGCCATTAAAATCTCGGGGCCCATCTGACAGATATATGGTTTGTTTATGAATACATGTGATTTTATCAAAAAATGACAAAAGCTGTAAGAAGTATATTCCTAATATGTTACTGTCTTTGTTTTTTGATAATATAATTATTTTTTAAACTTCAATCGCTACAAAGTGATCTGTTTTATTCCTTTTTGTTTTTTTAAAGGAAAAATTCTATATTCATATCTGGGACAAACTTAGCCTATTGTACTTAGTTATATTTTAAAGTATATTATTGATTTTATAATTTCTTTGTATTACTATTTTTAATGGGGGCCCCTTTTTCTACTTCTAAACCAGTGTTTATTAAACTTTTTTGTTTGTGGATTACATTACCTTTTTTAATTTTGGCAGACCACAGTGAGATTTATACACTATGCTGCCACTACCTTTCCATAATTGTGACCTTTCTATTTACCACAGATTAATAACCTCAGTTCAAAAGTAATTTACTGCCAAATAATGTTTACTCCGTTATGGTACATTATCTCTTCTCATGTGTATAGCTATTCTCATTCAGTGGTACCCTTTTTTTGCAAAAACGTTTTTGCATGCCATAAGCCTTGAACTTCCACGTACCCCATGATCAATGTGGTTCAACAGTGTCTTGCATGTAAATGATCATGTGACAACCCTCTCTCAATACCACTGCGACATACCCGCCTGTATGTGACTCACTCACTTCTCATTAGTGAAGATATTTTTCGATTGTGCTCTCTTCACGTGCTTTCTTCATTTTCTGCAAATTAGTGATTTCATTTAATTATTTTGCATTGTCTTTGGTGTTGGCATTCCTCCGGACTCTTCAGCACATTTTGTCCCCCACCCCCACCCTGTTCTTCTATTGACACTTGCCAGTTCCAAGTCTCTGAGTTGGTGGACCATGGAGGAGTCCTCCTGAATGTGAGCTGAGAGTAGAGTGATGGTGTTCTGCTGTTGTAGATGACATTCAATTCTCCAATTATATGCACCACGTCTGTGTGATGGGTCCTGGAGTTTGATGTTGTGCTCCAACTTCTTTGCAGTTCTATCTGGGGGATGACGTTGTGCTTATCTACAAATAAATACCATGCGGTGAGTCCCAGAGGTTGATGTTGCACCCAGCTTCTGTGTAGTTCTATCCGGAGGGTGAGGTTGCTTATATATATTTATAGATGCGTCTCACTTCCGTGTGGTGGGACCCAGAAGTTGCAATTGCACTCCAACTTTTGGGCAGTCTTACCTGGAGGATAATGTTGCTTAGGATCTGTCACATTGCAGTTCACCCATTTCATTGGGATCCCTCATCCTACCCTCACCTGGATGTTGGTTCCCAGTGAATGGTTTTGGATTAGAGCTGGACCAATCAACATAAATCCTTACACATGCATTGGTTGTGTTTCCTCTTCCTTACTCAGTTTGCCTCAAGATCTCCACTTCCATGCAGTGGGTACTGGAGGTTTATATTTCACCCAGCTTCTGTGTGGTTCTATGATCTATCCAAAGGATAATGTTGATTGGGGTGAAAGTTCTCCCTCTCACACTCCACCT